TAGCTTGGGGCAAACAGGAAAATGGGAATGGCTGACATGACATACAAAGAATCGCCACAAGGTGGCAGTACCTCGCACCGTTGTTCCTGGCCTTCAGAAGGCCTGTCATGCTCTCAGCCCTCCCGTCAGCTCAGGAGGCTGGAGAGGATGGCAGCAATGCCAGGGGAGGCTGGCGTCCAGCAGGCAGCTGTCACTCTAGCCGAGGGGCTGTGGGAGAAGGAAGGGGCGAAGTGGTCAGGACGCCAGGGCGATTTCATTAATCTGCACCAGGCACGTCCGTAGGAGGACTTGGAAGAATGGCGGTTTTCAGTTCTGATCCCACCTCTGAGGCTTAGCAGCTAGGTGACCACGGGCCTTCACCTTTCCAAGTCCCAGGACTGTCATCTGTACAGCTGAGCCATGCCTACCTGGCAGGTGCACGGAGGAGGGATGAATGGCATATTGTGTCTGAATGTGGCCATAAGAGCTATAGAACTGGCAAAGCTTCGAGCAAAATGAAAATGCACAAAAGAAAGTGATGTTAGAGGAGGATGTCAAGCGTTTTCCTTCAAAAATGTAATTTGCAGAATGAAATAGGACTCCCATTATAGAGGAACGATAACAGAAACTGAAAATTGAAACGAATATTTTGGTGTCGTAATTTTAGTACAACAAATACTACTTTATATTAATAAAGTAGTATCTTGATTGATAATATAATTTTCCTGGCCGGCTTTCCTGAAAACTCATTTATTAGGTCATCAGCATTTATACTTTGAGCAACGTTGTTGTTGTTATTATTATTTTTAATTTTGAGAAGAATCTGCTAATGCAACTGTGCTGGAGTAAAGAGGATCTGACAGCTGTAACAATGTTGAGATGAAGCTATTTTGAAACATAAATCTAGATCAACCAGTCATAGAGGTGAGAGACTTTGCTTTTGAAAGCCTGCCAACTGGAATGGAGCTGCACTCCCTCCTGGGGCCCTGAGCCCCTCTGCCTGGGAGGAACAGCCTCAGCGCCCCCTTCGGTTTAGGGAAGAGCTTTGTGGGTGCAGCACTTATCTCTCCTTTAAGGAGCAAGACACAACTGTACTTCTCAGCCCAGGCTGGATGGTTACCATTGCACACCCAGCCTGGCTTCTTCTTGAGCTTAGATAAGCAATCAGTTAGACTCCACCTAAACTCGACACTTCCCCAGGCCCCATAGTCGCTCCATCTCTGGCTTTTGGTGAGGGAGCCATGTTTGTGCTGGCCTGTGGTCTTACAGGTCAAGGCCAGGAAGTGATCCTGCCTTTGAGAGTGCCTTACTGAGCTGGGGTCTCTATCAAATGAGCTTCATCACCAAGGTAGCAGCACAGCCGCAAAGGAGGCATCTGGCACCAGGTGCTGTCAGTCACAGGAACCCCTGGTGGGAACACAGCACCCCCTGATGCAGCTGTCCTGGAGACCCTGAAGGGTACTCTTCCCCAGGGACACAGGGTGATGTGTCTCTCAGTGGTTTCCCTACTTCAGATCAACTTTTCCTCCTTCTCCAGTAGGTCTTCACAATTGCACAGAGATCTAGGCAGAACAGAAAGTAAGCAGACAAAATGCTACTGGTGGTTCTCTGGGGTTGGGACACAAGTGGGAAATCACACTTTTGTACAGGTGGACTTTTAAATGACAGTGAGCTATGTTTGTAATAATTGCAAGCACATGACTCACTAGAAAAGGGTGAATAGGATTAATGCCAAACAGGAAAAAGATGGCAGCCATTAACTTCCTCAACCTCAGAGCCCAGTGAAGCCCCTTCCTAAGTATTATGGCATTCTATAAGACTGCCGCTCAAAAAAGAAAGAAAAATACACGGGGGGGGGGGGGAACCATCTAACTCAATGTGTGACTCTAGATTAAAAATAGACTAGGAAAAAATATCAATAGATACAAAACCCCTAGGGGAAATGCAAATAATGATTAGATACTAAATGAGATTAGGAATTATTCTCTCACATGTGTAAATGGTATAGGGATTCAGGTGAGAATTTTCCCTTGTTCTTAAGAAGTGCATGCTGAGAGAATCAGGTGCTGTACCACGATGTGTTATGAGTTGGATCTTAATTAAGTGTCCCCCAGACGTCATGTGCTTGGTCCCCAGCCTGATGTACTGTTATGAGGTGGTGGAACTTTTAGGAGCTGGGGTCTAGCAGAAGTCAGGTCATTGGAGCCATGACCTTGAAGGAGATATTAGGACCTGCCCCTCCCCTCTGCTTCTCCTGCCATGACATTCCACCTCAAGACAGTCCCCCAAATGATGGAGCCATCAACCACAGACCAAAGCCTCTGAAATTGTGAGTCAAATAAACTTTTCTTCCTTTTGAGTCTCTCACATATTTTTTCACAGTGACAGAAAACTGACCAACACATGATGTTTGCCTCTTGTCATCAAAAAACTAAGAGAGATACATCTAATATATATATATGGATATATTGGGAGGGTACCAGGGATTGAACTCGGGGTCACTTGACCACTGCGTCACATCCCCAGCCCTATTTTGTATTTTATTTAGAGACAGGGTCTCACTGAGTTGCTTAGTGCCTCATTGTTGCTGAAGCTGGCTTTGAACTCATGATCCTCACCCTCCTGAGCCACTGGGATTACAGGTGTGCGCCACTGCTCTCAGCTCATCAAACATTTTTTTTAAAAAAATAAACAATTCAGGCTAAGCATATTCAAGATTTTTAATTTTTTTTTTTATTCAGTGTTTTCCGTACGCTTCCTTAGCCTGGAAGAAATACTCTGAGTGTTGAGTGAGTGACATGCTTCTCTACACAGTCCAGAGGAGGGGCGTGCTGTTGTGGTGACCAGAGCCTGAGCATTGATGGGACCTCCTTCACGGCTTCACCAGCGTCCCAACCCAGGCCTCTGTCTCACATGATCCAGAAGTCATCACTTCTTGCCAACACAGCATTGTCACCAGCGTCCTCTCAAAACACCTCGAATTAGGGAATAAGACAGAGGTGACTAGAGGCTGGGACAGGGACGGGGAGGGGAAGAGAGAGAGGTCGAATAGCAGGGACAAAATACAGATAGGACAAGTGAGTCCTGGTGTCCTGTTCCCAGGAGAGTCGCTGGAGAAGACAACAACAGAAAGTGGGTAGACTTCACACTCCACACTTCAAAACAGCTCGAAGACGTTCCCAACGCAGAGAGATGATCAGTGTTTGGATGGATGTGCCAACCGTCCTGCGTTGACCATTGCATGGATTGAAATGTCACCCTGGACCAGGGAGAGCCCAGACACAATGCTGTCCTCCCTGTCTGCCTCTGTGGAGTGAAACACACACCCACCTGAGTCAGTGCCCGTCTTCCCGGGTAGATGGGGACTTTCAGGAGATGTCTCATGTGGATCTCACTGTCCTGTGATGACCTGGGACAACGGGGCTCCCTTGTCTCTTCCTGAAGCCCTGACACCCTCCTGCCCACCCCTGGGAACTCTGGGTTCAGCACACTCTATTCTATTTCATCATAGGACCTGACCATGCCCAGGGATGGATAGAAGGAGGTGGAATTCATTCCTACTGTGGCCTCAGACTGTCCACAGACTATCAGGAAACAGAAAGTGGGTAGACTTCACACTCCATGGAGCAGGCAGGTGACCTCTAGGGCTCAAGCCCATCTGTGCCCTGTGAGGCAGGCCCAGCTCCGGACCCCCTCCATCCAGGGACCTAAAGGAGTAGGCAGCAGCAGCTCTTGGTTGCAAGGGTGGAGGACAATTCCCTGGGGTTTCCCACATCCTGATTTGCATCAGGACAACTGGGTGTGCCTTATTCCCTAAGGGCTATTCCTCTGACACACCAGGAAAGATGTCATTTTAATCCCGGCAATTACAAGGACCAGAGCCAGTAACAAATTGTATAATTTCCAGGAACCGGGAGCCCGGACCTTTATAAGGCCAAGCGCTGGGCGCTCTCAGCAGCGTCTGCTGTGGGTCCACCAGCCTCGCCATGAGGATCCGGTTCCTCCTCCTCGCGTTCCTCTTGGTGTTCCTGCTGCCTTCTCCAGGTGAGATGGGCCACGGGGAAGAGGAGGGGACACAGAGAAGGCAGGAAGTCTCTCTCCTTCCCGGTCCTCCACCCTGTCCCTTCGGTCTTTCTTCCTCTCTCCCTCCTTCTGCCTGTTTCTGCCCCTCCTCCTTCTCTTTCTCCTTCTCTTACTCTCTCTCTCCTTCTTCTTCCCTCTTGATTCTCTATCTCCTCTCCTCCCTTCCTCTCCTTTCCTCTCATCTTTCTCTGTTCTAAGCACAGTTTTTGGGCCAAGTAGCTTGTATGAATTACGTAACAGAATCAAGACCATTTCCTACAACTGGAAAGGAGTTGAAGAACCACAGGGTTCCACTCACAGCCATTTCCAAGCAGCTCTGCGGCTGGTAAATCCAGACCCTTCGTTGGTCCTCGAGCTAGCACTGCTGAGACCAGGGAAGCCTCCCTAAGGCCACAAGTTGTTTTTTTAATCAAATTCAGATATCTTGCTTTTTTTTTTTTTTTTTTTTTTTTTAACAAAACTGTTGTTTCATTAAGACAGGTACATAAAGGTTAAAAATACCTTCAAACAAAACAATGGTTATCTTGTTTATCATCAATTTAAAGTTACAATACATATGAACCCCTTCCCCCAGGCTAGAAAAAAGTCAAGATCATGAGGAAGTGTTAATGAATAGCTAAGATTCATATACGAAGAAAATACTGCCTCAGAGAATACAGAGACACAATAAATGTTAATCAAAACAATCTCTGAGCAGAAAGGTCCACCAGTACAAAAATAAAAAGTAAATAGAAGTAACATAGTAAGAACAACTTGGCAATAAGTCTAATTTTTTATAATTGATTTTGCTCTACTTACTAAGTTAACTAAATGTTGGGGGTTAAAAAAAAAAAGGAAACCTAAGAAAGACTATATAAGTGAGGGAATAGGAAATGAAATGATTTTAGTGCAAACATGCACACAGATCTTAACTTTTCTAGAGAACACAATATGTTGAGTAGTAGAAAGGAATTTAATTCCTATAGTGGATGAATGTCATTCACTTAGTATGGAGTTTTCGACATTACAAACAAATTATTAAAGCCTTCAAAAAGAAAGAGTACAACCTAATCTTATAGCATAAAATTAATTCTACTATATATCTTCATTATCTGTATTTACTAATGGATACATATTACAAAAATAATGATATTCAAAGCTCAAAAAAGCAAGCAATTACTACAATGTCTCTGATAGCACTGGGAGACTTTATCCTTTATGTACTAATTCAAACAAGCTTAATTTTAATCAAATTCCACCCATGCTAACAGAACTATTAGATTCTCAGACTTCTCCAAATGTTCATGTCTCCAGAGGGCATGCCTATTTGAAATCCTAAAACCATTTGTTTGCTATTTCTTAATAAAAACTTGTGAAAAACATGTAAACCATACCCTTATCTTTTGGATTACAATGACTAAGTATAAAAACAATTAATTTAACATGTATTAACATTATTAATCTGAACTATAAATCATTGAAGTTACACATAAAAGCACCCACAACATTTAAAAAAATGAAAGATTCACAGTGCACTGCACCCTGGAACATGTGGTTGGAACATTTAAAAAGTGAATTCAAAGACCTATTTATCTTTCAAATACATGAAACATAGTGAAGCCAACATAGCTACTCTTCTCATTTAGCTTCTTAAAATGCAGCACTCAATAGAAGGAAATTATTGCATATTCAGCATACTACTTTATCATCTGATTTCTTCAAATCATACTTAAGTATCCCAAAAGGAGAAAATCTAGTCCTGTGCTAAGCATGGCCTGTCTCAAGGTAACCTGAACAATGAGAGGGAATAAGTACAACAAACAGGTACATCCAACTTAAATATTTTCTGCATAGTTAAGTCACATCATATACGTAAAATTTAACTCATCATTTAACATGTTAACCTCATACTGTCAAGAGAGCCTAAGTTATCATAATCACATACCAACCATTCCCTTAAGTTTGTTCCACAGTGCATTAAATGAAGCAGCACAACAGCAATAACTATTGTAATTAAAGAAAATTTGTTAGTTCTTGAAAATACTCAACCACAGAATCCATACTTCTGATAACTCTGATCTCTTATGCTTTAGTATTGAGAGCTAAAGTCTAAACCTATAGGCACCAGAAGGACTGATCAAGCACTCATTTAAAAAGAAAAAAAAAAAAAAAGATACACACACACACACACACACAAACACTAAAAATTAAATGGTTTCCAGATGACAGTAAACAAGTGAAAAATGATTCATCTGCCAGGAAAACTGTTTTCACTTCCTTAATGATTTAACAGAAATCTGGAATGCTTGGACCAACTATAAACATGGCTCAAGGAGACCCGAGCAAAGCAGCTGTATTTCTGAAAAGAATAGTAAAAGCTTCCAAATGCAATCATATAATGCATTAAAAAGCAAAGGTCACATAAGGATTCACAAATTAGTCACATTAAAAGATGCAGGATTGTGGATAACCTAATTCTCAAAACACTGCTAGCAACATGAATTCTCCTGCTTAGCACCGAGTGTGACACTTTCATTAATAAATAGAATTTCTCCTTTAAAATCAAGTCACTTAAAATCTAAAGCCAAGTAATAATACAAAGTGAATCCTTACAATAGCCCCCCCTTTAAAAGTTCTACAGGTTAAGCAGAACCTCTAATTAAATAGGCTACCTATACAGAATAAAGATTTCTACAGTAACATTTATAAGCAGAAAATATTTTGTGGATACCACTTGTAAAACAAACAAAAAGATCAAAACCCATATGACAGACATACACGCATAGACTCAAACTGTCCCTCACCCCCACCCCCAAGAATTATCTTCAATGAGGTCAGATGCAGCCAAAATGTATCTCCTACTTAAAGCTCAGGTGATTGTCCTCAGTTATAGCTGAAAATTCTTCTCAAAATGGCTATTGCCATCCTTATTTGGATTTAAGAATCCGAAAGGAGCAAAATACATTCCTAGGAGTGAGTTATGTATGTTACTTTCATGTTCTGATCTTGCCCTAGTGAAATGCTTTATTTGTTCTTGGTAAACTGGACACCCCTTCTGCTTCTGATGCCCATCATTCAGGGGTTTCAGCATGCCAATAAAAGCATTTCACTTTGTTCTACTGAAAATTGGAACCTAATATAACATCAATTTCCATAGATCACACAGATATGCAATGTAAAACTAATGTCAATTTTTCCATACATATTTACACAACTGGAATATATCAGAAATTTTCACACGAACAAAATCATTATACAATGGTAAAGGGTTGGAGGCAGGATGGTAAAAACATAATCCCAAATACTTACTGGGCCCTTGCCTCCTTGGCTTTCTGCTCCAGCACTCATAGGTTTATTGAATGTACCCAGCATAACTCAAAATTACAGCATCAACTCCCCATCAACTGAATCCCTCCTCCAAGCTGCCAATTTTATCCTTATGAAGTGCTATGAGTTCATTTTGCACATGAATATTATATTAAAGATGTTGGCTCTGAATAACTCCTTTCAACAAAACTCTAAGCAAAGGAGAATTAGCTTCAGTGGTCAGAAGCAGAGAAATAAAATGCCACCAAGACAGATGGCTTGCAATCTCAACATCTGAGACATTTCAGCTTTTATGTTCATTTAATAATTGGATATTTTAAGTTTCTTTTTAAAAATTTCAATACAAGTAAACGATTATTGCAATCACTGTAATGGGTAGATGAAGTATTCCCATTACCTTGGCTAATTGATTTCTCAAACACTATTTTCTTGACCAGAGAAAATAAGACCCAGTCACACAGAAAAAAAAAAAATGCCCTCCAAAAAAAAATTACACTTGTTTCAAACACTGAAAAGGTAAAACTGTTTAAAAGATTATAACTGCATTTACAGTGCAAACTCATGCTTCTTTCTACTCTTCTGCACAGAAAATCCTTTCAGAAACACTGCCTCCCTGCATTTCTTTAAAACACCTGAGAAAGGTAAGGCTTGAGGAGACACCCGCTCAAATACAACAGGTCTCTGATCTTGGGACTTCTATAATACATCTGTTGCTATCAAAGGTCCAAGATTTTCATTATAGCATTATGGTCAAACTTGAAACTCAAAAAAGTTCTGGATGAAAAGGGGAACTTGCAATGTCCATTACATGCCACAGACTGTCCCTCAACATGTTCTAGTAACTGGTCTTCACTGGAACAAGGCAGGTCATATACAGCATCTGTTTCAAAGTTATCCTGAAGTTTTCGTGGATGCAGTTTCTTTTCACATTTCATCAAGGGATTCTGCTGCTTTGGTGGCTGGCTATGGACACCGTTTGTTCTTTTCTTCTGATTAGGTGAATCTTGATACTGTTTTCTGCCATTTCCCCTCATACTCTGATTCTTTGCTTTTAAAAGGTCAGACATTTCAGAATGGCTATTGTATGGCTTTTGCTGCAGTGGCTGTCTGTGTTTTACCCACTGGTCGCCAGGAAAACCTTCAGGAAACAACTGCTGACTGTGGCGGAATTTGGTTCGACTCAATTTTTCCACAGTGGGTTTAGCGGGTGTGCTACCAGCAGAGGAAAATCCATTATCACTATCTGAGGAATCCCCAAATCTTCGAGAAAGCCAGTCCCTTAATGGTCTGATAAAGGGAATGGCCATAAAAAATTTGTTAGGTGCCAAGCCAAGTTTGGATTTGGGCGTCATATCATTTCTATGACAGGGCAATTTCTCAATGGAGAACCACTCAATATTCCGAATTTCTCTTCTGGTTTTTGGGTTAAATTTAGTGTCTTTTGGAATTCCTGGAATGATGTACAAACGAGCAAGTTGGTCATTGATCCGAAGTTCAATGTAATCATCCTTACAAATATAGTCTTTGATATCAAAACCAGTTTCTTCAAAGACCTCTCTAGCAGCACAATCATGAGGAGCTTCTTCTTTATTTACTTTTCCTTTTGGAAATCCCCAGCCTGATTTTGCTAAGTACCCCTGAACCAGTAGTACATTTTCAAGTGTCTCATCAAGAATAATTGCACCATATGTTGGTACTCCCATTTTATATTCCTTCCATTCATCCAAAATTTTTTCCACATCTTCACCTTGAGGCAGCAAAAATGGACAATGATTGAAGACAGCTTTTGCAAAGTCTCTTATCCCACACTGAGGTAATCCTGGTGTGTTCTGCATGTAGAAATCCAAGTAAAACCAATGGGCAAGTTCAATCTGAAAACACACTCGGATTGCATTGTCTCTTTCCTCGCTGGGAATATGCAAAATAAATCGGCTGCAGAGATCGTCCAGGACGCTGCCAGGAATCTCCACCCGTTTGGTCTCCATGATGAGGACCCACAGCAGGAGCAGTGCATCCCGGCTCCGCGCGGCCGGGGACCGAGGGTACAGAAAAGAGGCTCCGGCTAGCCGGAGAGCGGGCTGCGGTGGCGGCAGCGGCGGCAGCTCCGACGAAAGCCTAGGGGGAAGGGGCGGGACCCATTCACTTCCGTCCCGCTCCAGATATCTTGCTTTTAGCCAAAGAAGGAAGCAGAGGACACCATTTTATAAATCTTTACATGAAAGAGTAGAGTTTTTGGGTACCTAGATAATCCCAGAAATTAATTCTGTGGGTTTGTGGTTTAGGAACCTCCTGGGCCCTGGTCTTTTCAGACAGGAGGCCCCGGACGACATGCCCTTCGACATACAGGGCTGCCCTGGCCCAGTGCAGGTGCAGCTCTTGGAAGTAGCTCTCTCAACTGTGTGCCCAACATTTATTTTTTCTTGATACTGTGAAAATAGAATAAAAAAGAATGAACAGGGAAGAGAGGCAGGTGGAGAGGAGGGACAGAGAGAAGAAAATGAGGCAAGATCTGAGTCAACAAATCTGATAGAAATGATGTTGAAAACACCCCTCATTTTATGAATCCCGTTTGTGAGTTCTGGGTTACAGTGGAACAGCGGGATTCTGAGAGAGCAGGGTCAAAGCTGTATTCTGTCTTGGAATAGATCCGGAAGGGTGGAAGGAAGGAAGAAGGCATGAGAGTAAGACCAGGTTTTAGATCTTAGAAACAAGGACACAGGTTTATTTTTACTGTTTTGTTGTCAACTGTCAGTTACTTTGGCGTCAAGTTCTCATTGAACAAGTTCTACTCTCTGAGCTGCATCTTTTTCTCCCTTCAGTTCAGATACTTAATAAATTAACTGACATGGAAAACAAAGGTTGAAAATGGGGACCTTCCTGCCTTACCTGAGCCTAACACTACTGGCCTAGGTAGAAGCAGATGGAGTCTCTCTGAGGCTGAGGCTGCTAACTGTGGTGTGCCCACTGGGCCCAGGTCTTCCGGCCGTGCCTGCCTGACCCCATCTGGGGGCCCCCAGCAGGCTCCCCAGGTCAGAGCCTCAACATTTCAGCTGGAGGATCAGAACAGACTCAAACAGCCTGGAGTCAAGTGGTGTGATCCTGAGGAAGAACTGGGCGGGAAGGAAACCTGCCGGACTCACTCTGCTGATGGGCGTGGGCTCCTGTCCTTCAACACAGGGCCTCCGTGCTGACACTCCTTTGCCCTTTGTTTTCTTTCAGTTTTTCCTAAATATATCAGCAATCCTGTCAGGTGCCTCAGGAATGGAGGATTGTGTAAGGCTGCCTGCCGTGGACATCTGAAGAAGATCTGCACCTGCGGCATACCAGGGCCCAAATGCTGTCGGGTAAAGTGAGGAGGCCCAGAGACCACAGCAACAGAAGTGGACCAGACCTCTTCCAACCCCAGCCACATTAAAGCATGTGTTCAGAACCTTGCCTTCTAGTGATATGGTGACCCGACCGACCCGTAGTCATGTCCTGGGGACACGCTGTTAAGCTCTGCATACTGACAATCAGGACAGTGCAGGGGGCTTCTGTGTCTTTCCAGGGACCCCTGAGTGCATCTGTCTCCATGATACCCCCATCTTCCCCAGTGACACTGCGTGCTTTGCTCTTCCTGCCCCCCTCCCCTTGCATGCCCTGACCTACTATGAAAACAGCCCAATCCCTCTGTCCCCACTCAAACCCGCTGGCTCTGGAAGCCAGAGCAGCACCCTTGCACCTCTGCTCTCTGCGCCCTGCCCTTGGGTCCTGCTTTTGCTCAGCTGGGCCTGGTGCACGTACAGGTAACACTCTAATTCTCTCAGGCCAACAGGTCTCTGTGTGTGGACTTTGTCTGTCCTTTTATGCACTGGTCATTGAGGGGAGGCCTTGCTGCATAAGTGATTATGAACAGAAGGGCGCAGTTGAGTTGGACAGTGTTTCCTGCCGTGTAGATGGAGGGTGATAAGGTCAAGAGTGGGAAAGCAGGTTCTCACCAGAGACACAGGGAATGACATCAGTAAAACAGGGGACAGAGGAAGAGGGAGCCAAGGTCCAAAGGAGAGACCAAGACAGGGCAGCAGCCAGACACTGCTGAGCCTGACACCCTTGCCCAGGGTAGGTCCTTGCTGGTGGATCCTGTGGGTGCCCCACTGTTTCTCCACCTGAACGCTCCCCTGAATGTGCTCCTAATTCTGGGTGAATGCAGCTCGATTCCAAAATAATACCTACAGTCTCAGGATTGAAAAAAGAAACGACACCTTGTTACAGTAAAATCATTTTTATCAGGATAGGTACATCTGATAACAGGTGAGATGAGAGAGACACTGCTGTGGGTAGAAACTTAAGTACCCCCCAAAAAATCCACACTCAAGACAAAATATGATGAAATATTTTTAAAAAACTAAAATCAGTGCTCCAAATCCATGATTAACACAATATCCAAATATCAAACCAGGACAGGATCTACCTTCAGTTTCACTCTGCAAACCCACTCACCTCACTTTGATCTCAGGCCAGCCACGTCCCATCTTTAATCATTTACTTTTGATAACTTATGACATTTTTATTTATAATAAATGTGTTGTTTGCCTGGTTTTCAAAAGTACGTATTTTTGACCACAGAGATGAGGTGAAGTTTAATATAGTACATAAAGCAATCACTTTTGTGTTCTAGGGGAATGGAAACTACTCTTTTGAGAAAACACTTTACTGGCTATTTTTTTCTTGTAAGGAGGGACGCCTGAGTGCAGTATAAGACAAGAAAAAATTAAAAAGCTAAATAGCTCTACATTTCCAAAAATGAAAGGGCTCTTTGTATTTCCACTTAGAATCAGGGCCAAGGGAGGCTTGGGCCGTGAAGATTAAAAATGAAAGTAGTAGTTTGGGTTCCAAAGGAACGAGAGTGAGGCGACGTGAGGGAGGTGGACAAGGGAGGCCGGCTGGCTGGGGAGCTCCAGCTAGGCTGAAGCCCCTTCTCCAATCTTAACATTTCTGTGCAATAACTACCTATAAAATACTTGCAAAATCTTCTCTCACTCAACAGTTTGTGGTTGGGAAATCTTGGAAACAACCAGAGATCCTCAGTCATGCTTGGGGTAAAGGCATGAGGAAGGAGAGCAGCGGCCAGGGAGTGGGGGGCCCAACCATGGAAGGCTCTGCAGGAGAGGAGAGCAGGAAGGAGTGTGGATGAAATAGAGTGGACCCAAGTACGGAGGGGAAATCCCAAGGAGCACTTGGATATCCGCCTTCATGTATGAAGAGTGGGAGCTGGGGGGGAGGGGATTTAGATATGGAAACAGGAGAATCCTAGGGTTTGGAGCAACCGCAGGCTGCTTTCTAAAAAAGCCATCATGTATGCCTTCCCCTAACTCTAAAGCCATTATGCCATGGACTGAACGAAGAAAATCACACCCACCTCACTGTGTCATGAGGAAGGAAAAAAAGAAGATAATTCATTATTTCTATGAAGTTCATCTGGCTACTCATGCCAAATCATCTCTTGATCTTTGCTCCAGTTGTTTAAAAACCAAATGTGCAGACTGATAAGGCGAGGTACCACAGCCCTTGGATGTCCTTTGGTCAACTTATCTGTCACTGTGATCAAGAACAGTTTTAAGGAGTAAAGGTTTATTTGGTGGCTTACTGTTTCCATAGACAGCCCATTTCATTCCTCTGGGCCCGATACAAAGCAGAACATCATGGTGGAAGGGTATGGTGGAGGAAAGTGGCTCAGAACTTGGCACCAGGAAGCAGAGACTACTTAGCTCAACAAGGACAGAGGCACAGCCCCAGTGACCCACCTCTTCCAGCCACACCCCACCTGCCTACAATCACCACCCAGTTAATCCCTATCAGGGGATTAATGCACTGATTGGGTTAAGGCGCTAACAACCCAATCATTTCACTCTCAACTTTATTGCATAGTCTCACACATGAACTTTTGGGGGACACCTCACGTCTAACCCACAGCAGTGTGTATCCTGGTTGTGGTGTTCACAGGTTTTTTTTTGATGATACTGATTGCTACTTTGGTGGGTTTTAGAGTATCTCCAGCCAGCCTACTCCTCAGGACCTACAGCTGTTCACCCTGTCTCCAACCTTCCTCCTTTCATGACACCCTCACAGGTATTTTATGCTATTTTCTGTATATTCTAATATTTTCTCTCTCTGTAAATTTGGTGTGGAGATTTTTCCATCCAATTTGATGTATTCCAAGTCTTAGATCCTCTCTTTGGCTGTAGCCCAGGTGCTGTTAAGCCTGACTGTTATGATATTCAGTTCAGCTGTTATCCTTTAAGTTCTTGAATCATCATTTATCATTTTAAAATCAGAAAGGAAAATCGGCAGACATGGAGATTTCCAGCCATTCTGCAGACCCCCCAGCTCTCCTGGGACTACAGACATCTCACTGTGACTCCCGTCCCTGAATAAGGGGGCAGTGTTGCTTTAAAGAGGGTAATTTCAGGTGAAGCCCTGGATGAGAGGAAGATAATGACAAGCCACTAAAGAAATCGAAAGACTGATTATGTAATTATGGGGCAACTGGGGTGGGGGTGATGACATCACAGGAACTTTAAAAAGAGACCTGTGATGGAACTTTAAACAGATTCTTCTTAGGCTTCCTCTCCCAGATGAACAACTTAGAATATAAATATTCTTTGTCTTTGTTTTATTAATACTAAATTATTTGGATTGACAGATTTAATAAATAAAAACACAGGACACCCAGTTCAATGTGAATTTCAGATAAACAGCCGCTAACGTTGTGTGATGTACCTCATACAATAGTTGGTACTGAAACAAGTTGTTTGGTGTATCTGAAACTGACATGGGACTAGGCCTCCTGTATTTCATCTGATGACAATATAAATCACCAAGATTTCTCTCTGTAAAGACAGTTTTTTGGCCAAAGTATTTATTTATCACTCAGCTGAGTTGGCTTTTACGAGGTGTGGTAATGACTGCCCAAGATGGCCACCACCAATCCATGGGGTCTGGGGACGTGTCCCACGAGGCCACTGAAACATCAGGAAGCAGAGGGAACCAAACCTGCTTTCAAAGGGGAGATCGTCTTGGATTATCTGGGTGGGCCCAAGGGAACACAGGGATGACTAAAGATGGAAAAGGGAGGCGGGGCCCTCAGAGTAAGCCGTGGCCGCAAGGAGG